CACCTCGTGCTTGCTGAACAGAAGTAGAAAGATATATTCAATCAATGCCGAGGTTAATAGAAAGTCGGACTTGGGAGTTAATCTAGCTTTCTCCTGCCCCTTTCCCTTATCATATCTTTGACCCTATATTTCATAAAGCATATAAGACGAAAACCATATATTTTGCAGACTACACTTTCTAGACAGATTTTGATCAAGTGGACGAACGCATAAATAAATCATTGTTTTCTGGATGAGCAAACACGAGGTTGCTTTATTCTTTACTGATGAAAAAGCTGACGTTTCGGGGAATTTCTCCTTCCCCAGGAAAAGTCAAGTTGACTGTAATCTACCCACTTAAACATCTCCAAAGCTAAACAGAGAAAATACTAAACCGAAATTTCAATCCCACCGTAAGCAAAATAGCTTCCTCGCACAACCATCGCTTGCTATGAGCCTTTCAGAGTATTTCACGTACGTGCAGACCAACTGTACAGAATTCACATAGAAAGGTAATGCGCTCCTCTCACATTAAAATATCAGTCCCTAATACTGTCATGCATGATTAGAGTCATCGCTCGCTGCCTTTATTCCTTCTTTGATTACGGAGGTGCTTGACAAGGTTAATTGCAGTCAACTTGACCTTTTCTGAAGAAGGTGACATCCGCCGAAAAGTAGCTTTTTCGTCATTAAAAAAAGAATAAAGCTCTCGGTGCTGACCAATCCCTGAGGGATGCGTCATGCATTCGACTTTACTAAGGATCGTTGGAGATGAGTGAATGCATATCTGGCTTTTACAATGACTCACGGTGGCCCACCGAGCCAGTGCTGCTACCCTCCCAGACAAGTCTGGTACCAATTTACCAACCCCGGAGAGATGGATAGTTTGGTTGACCTGAGTCAGGGAGATGGATTCCATTTGTATTGCAAGGTGACAATGACCAATGCGTTACATGCTGCCCCTTTCTCGTCAATAAAGAAGAAAATAACAACCTCATGCTTGGTCATCAAGTGTGCAGTGAATTATTTAATTAATGCCGTGGTGAATAGAAAGTCAGTCTTGGAAATATTACTGCATGGACAAGTGCTTACTTCTACTATGTTCTGAATGTTAATTGACCGCGACGTCCACTCAATACGCGAAAATGAATTTATTTGAGACTAAGCTAAAAGGTTATTTGGTTGCAATAACAAACTTTTCTGGCGAGTCCCGAACTACGACATACGCAAGACTGTGGAAAAAAACTAGAGTACACATCAAAGATCGAAGACTAACACTATGTTAAAAGTGTTGAAACTGTGAAAACGTTTGAAAAATTAAAGGCGAACTCACACTTGCAGCTAATTCACTGAGCTTGTGCGCTAAACATTCATTGAACCTGGTTGTGTGGTCCGGAGATATGAAGCTCAACAGATCACGAGCATTGCGGAAATAGCGAGTGTGCAAATCAACCTAAAACAGTATTGTGTAGGCGTGAAGAAAGAAAGCAGTATTAATCTGTGATAAGATTCGTTACTGTGACTTACCACTTCAGTCAATTTTAAATGTTCAACAACACAATTGATTAGATTTCTCACAGAAATACCGAGCTTTGTGAAATACCATTATGTCTGTCGCCATTAAAAATATTAAAAGCCTACTACTCCAAACCGAACTAACTAATGACACCTACTTCCGCACCTCACAACGGTTTACCACCTCATCGTGGCTGGGAGGTGCTCCTAGGTGTCGGACTGCGATGTACAGCGAAGGGATTCGCCCCCTGGCAAAGTCTCCCAATCTGAGAAGGAGTCTGGCTTTTCCATCAGGAAGCCTAACTAAAAGTAAACCAATACCAGGATCCACCACCCTTTTGGTATTGAAGTCGCATAGTGGCAAATCTCCATCTGATCCACAAGGCGACTGCCGGTGGTGGTGAAGACCTGGGGCAGACTTTGGCTAGGCTGACCTCGGGATTCTAAGAAACCACAATGGCTTAACCAGCAAATCTCCGAAAAATGGTGATTATGCTGTGGCCTGCACAACCAGTGAGGACGGGCCGTTCAAGTATCAAGTACCTATTTCCTCAAATGCTAGCAAGGGTTTGAAAATTGTCCGCAGATGAGAAAAAGCATGAAGATTTGTAATTGTTCTAATTTGTAATTTTAAATAAGAAGCACAAGAATCTAAAACAATGGCCTTCCTCATGAACGGTAAAAACAGAACACAATTTTACAACATAAAAAAAATAGGGAAGTATGACATATGAGAACTTTCGCACGTTCCACCATTAGAAGGCGGTATTAAACAACATCGTGCTATAGACACTACTGTAGCAAAGCGCGTTCCGTTCTTACCTTAGTGTAGTCTCCATTCATACAGTCAGCATGAGACGAGGCGATTCGCCAACCTTTTAGAGTTAACTCAAGCGTATAAGGTTGCCCTGAAAGGAATTGGTAACACGTGAAAGAGTTGTACGGAATTGTATGAAAGAGAGAAATTAACGGAATTCGGGAGTTTTTGTAACAGTTACGCGAAAATGCTTAGATGATCACTGAAGAAAATAGAAAGAGTGAAAAAGCACCATGGTATGAGAAATACCTTCTTGAGTTTTCACATTCACAAATATAAGGTCACTGGTTCTCGGAAGCATTTCAGAGACACTAATGTCGTGCACTTCATGAGACAATTCATGAACGGCTGCAATTGCCTCCAGTTCTAGCGGACCACCAGCTTCATTTTTGATCACACCTCCTTCCTAAAATGCACTTCTAGATATACGTTGGAATACGGGTTGGTTGGTTGGTTGGAATACGGAAATCTCCTTTTAAAACCTCCTAAACTTGTGATCCTAATTGGATTCCAGTAGTTCCTAACAGGCATTGTGGAAAACTTTTAGGATCAAATCTTAAAACGTAGAACCTAACGAAATACCTCGACATGACGTTTTCTATTCATGTTTGCAATGTCTTCTAAGGAGAGTGGTGTTCTGAAAAAGTTTTCTGTACTGATGGCAAAGTATATTTTTGATCATGTCACTTTTAAAATGTCACATATACAAAAAACCAATTAGTTATTCATAACCTATTCATAACAACTTATGAACATCACTGAAATTGTCCTCATGGTGGCGTTTTTTCCACCTTATTATAGCTTTAGATACGACAGGCCGTCGAAATAAAAGTGCTTGTATATTCTATTAGCAAACAGTTGCTACATAGCGAAGCGAATAGCACTTCTTCTTCATAGTCAATTTGAAAAGACAGACCATATTCAATACAAAATTCGCCAGTAAATAGAACAAAACCTAGGGGTTGAACCACCTGGTGGCCGAGCTCTTGTGGATGAGGTTCGTGACCAACTGCTGCGGATTCACCCATGCATTTTCGGCTGAAGCATCACCAGAAGAGTGGGACTGTCCGTCCAAGGTTGGAGAATGGGCACGAGAGTTATGGTACACTTGGGCTGCTGCATTCCATCGTGCAAAGCTAAACATATTTGTACTTCCATATAAGCTTATAACATTTCTTTAATAACTTTCTCAAGTTTTGTACCAGTTTTCGGAATTCTGCAACACCTAATGATAAGAAAGTAAATGTCTTTGTACATCGACCCCACAAGCTTTTAAATGATGCTACTCTTTTAATGATTACAATACGAATCCAACAGAGTAACTTAGCATGAAACGTAGACTTCCTTCAGAAGAGCAGGTGGGGGTAACTACGCAATTATGGGTTTCACGATCTAACAGAGTTCTTTTCTTTAACACAACACTTCTTTTTTTTTTTTACAACTTTTTAACATTTCTGACTTAACGTGGAGACGAAGCGCGCAGTAGTCTAGGGACTAAAAATAGCCCATATTAATACAATAAGATCTACATAAGGATTTTAATCGTACTTCAACACGTTTGCAATAAGGAAAAGACTTCTAACTTTCCACAGGGAAAGTTCAATGTGCTACTTTTTCCAAATATTTGATATATTCCTAAACTTGTAGATGAAAAAAAAACCAGTGGATTACTTGAAGGAAGTTTTGAAACCCTCAAACTGCTGAGGGCTGAATCGCATGAAATAAAGGGAACTAATTAGAGCGGAACAGATGTTTAGTGCGTTCTCCTCAATGAGGCATGTGTTTCGACATCACAACAGGCGAATCACATCACAAAATTAAATGTATCTACCGATCATTGTTTCTTTATTGATATTGTGGTAGAAAAAAAATGAAAGTGCAAATTCTCATAAACGAAGTCCTCAACTTTTCACACAGTGCAATGAACATGTGAAGCAAAGTTGTTAAACTTGTTTTTAAAAAAAAAACAATCGTTTAACAATACGTGTACGGTCACTGGCTCGACCTGTTTCGGGCCAACGAAATTTAACATTTTTCCGAGATCAGCACATTAGTGATAGACCTGTCTGGAAAAAGCCCCCCATACGACTGCCCGTGGAAAGAACCCTGGGAAGGTGAGGTGTAGCACAGTTATTCCAGCATTGCATGGAAAATCTGTTCCACCAGCATTAAATGCTATTCATGAAGGAAACAAAGTTCCCAGACAGTACCCAAAGTCACACGAAAAATTAATGACTTTCGTGGATGATGGATGTGACAATATTCGACGACAGGTCACGTAAATAAAAATTAGAATAAATAAAAGCGAAGAACGCACTCTTGTTGTTTGTAGAGCGGTGAAACACCCAGTGAATCTGCTAGACTATTTGCTGAAAGCGAAGCTAATGGGACTGATCCGCAAAGGCATGGAGGAGATTGGTAACCTCCCTTCTGGAAAACAGGGGAATGACTGGGAGTTGGAGGCGGTGACGATATCTGCGACATGGACTATTCGTAACCTGAATTCCTTATTTTGAAAAGTCTCAACGGTTAAAAACCAAGACCCGGATGGATATACGCCGATTCGAAGAGTATAAGTGAACCAGCTACGGTTATAAACGAACATTTCATTAATAAAAGACATGTACGGCTTCCGACACATTTAGATGAAGATTACCACCTTCACCCAAGCGCGAGAGGTCAAAGTTTTCAAAAATGTCATGACAGAATCGTAAAACATTATTGTAAAGGCGTGTGATAGTACTACAGTTTATGTGAGTGAACGAAATCCCTGTATATGGAGAACTAGACCGCAGCGTCTGAAATGCGGTGGTGAATTGGTAGTGAAGCAAATCTCGTTTGGACGACTCGTTGGTGCAAACGATGATGATAGTCGTCGGCCTGCGCTTGCCGCCCATTGCCTCGTCCATCATGTGGAATGTCATGCATCTTAAAAAACATTTACAAGCGTTTAATTCAAAAACGGCGGAATAACAAAGGCATAGAGCAGCTGACAATGTGGAAAATTCAAAGTTTGCAGAAATGAACAGCGATGCGCTTGTGTAACTCAGCTAGAGAAGATCGGATTGACAAGTGACACAATCCTTGTTTAAATATCTTCGCATACTTTCTCAGACATCTTGCGGAAGTGCACGAATAAAAAAGAAGATTGTAAAAGTTTTCAAAAGATTATGTTTTGGGTGAAACAACTACAATGATGCTGAGATATTTGCAAAACTCCGGATCGCAGTGATTTCGACTAGAGCTTTAGCTTAACTAGGTTTGTTGCCGATTTGGGATCCACAGATCAGTCCCGTTGATGGATGACTGCTGATGGCGTTGATCGATAGAACAAGAGAGAGAGGTGAAACGAAGAACCCGCATGATGTAGTGGTGAACGCGTTAGCACCCGTAAAGTGTAATACCGCGTTCGTTCCCCACCGCAGACACCTGCGGTCCATAGTTTTGCAAATATCTCAGCATCATTATCGTTGTTTCACACGTAATACCCTGCCGTGGAAAATTATAATAGGCAGTAAAATAAAAAGGTAATTTGTTTTGGTTTCTTAAAAGTTAAACTGATTCTTTTCTCGAAAACAATCACATCTTTTCACGTGATAGCAAATATTGATGAATCTAGTGCAACGTAACTGAAATCGAAAGGAAAATCAATGAAAGTTGTGGGAAATGATTTGTTCCAAAAAATGAAAAAAAAACGTGAATAATAAAATGCCAACAACAGGTTATTGTTCCTCCGTAAAGGAGAATATTATACAGTAGATAATGGCAAAGACAAATAAAATGAAATAAGAAAACTGGAATGAAATGAGGACAAGTAGACAAGAGTACTCTAGAAATGCTTAGAAAGAAAAAAAAAAAGGATGAATGGTAAATGCTAAAACATTATTCACTTTCTATTTGTCGTAAAGAATAAAATCTCGTAGCTAGTGGTGGGCGGGGATGGGCGATTGCCCGTCTAGTCCTTAGACTAAAATAAGAAAAACCGCAAGGAGGACTACATTGTTCAGTCAGTAGATCTTGCTTATTTGACGTAAAGTGGACAAAAATTTTCAGGTTCGTCGAAAGGTTAAGTCAACCTGCAAGTCGGTTTTGGAGAAATTACGACAAATATTGTAATGAAAACATTTCATACATCGAATACCTTCCAAATAAAACCAATATGATGACAACTACTACGCCAATATTCTTCTGCAATACTGATAAAGCTAAAGAAATATTCTGCACCTTAGACATAGTAGTTCCCTTCATTTCCAAAAGAATTTCATATCATCTCCATCACATGTTGCTTCGTTAGTAGTCAAATAACTCAGACGAGCACTACTAAGCTCTTTGGTACAGACTGCCGCTTGAGTAACTCGAAGACGACTACATTATTTCAAAATATCCTTACAAGAGCTAATGGAGCTTGTCCACTTGGTTGTCGTTAAATTCTCACTGGGTATGGAATATTCGAGATCTCATCGTGTAAATGGGCGTTTCAGATCTATCATCGTCGACTTAGGTCAAAAATCCGGCATCTCTCTTTCACGTGGTGCTTGATACACTTCGTATCATTCTCGCGACATATTCGATAACATTGACGTTTGTTTGTGCAACTTTCAAAGGAATACTGCACTACGATCTCTGGTCGCTTCATTTGTTCCTGGATGCTTTTGTGAACTTACTATAACACTCGTTTTCTTCATCTCAAATCTGAATGTAAAGCGCTCATCAAGTTAATATCCACAGCCAAATGGTCATAATTGGAGCATTTGCAGGTAATCGTTGCGTTAAGTGTGGCACATCTCGAACACGGTCCTGCTGAGACTCAACATGCAGAAATTCATAAGAAATGTCGAAATCAACTAGATATTCATAATGCTGTACAAACGATGGCATCATCAAAGCTCAGTAGATGTAGCTGCCATCCATCGACCTCCATTCACATGTTATTCACATCAGTATTCACATGACTTTGGCCATAAATAATTTCAACACCTTGCCGAACTCCTTTTTTCACAACAATAACAGTGTTATGGAGGAATGCTTAAAATCTGGTTCTGAAATCGCAATGTGATTCATGCAGAATCTTTATGTAACTACAGGGATGCTGGGTCATGAGCAAAACTCGGAACCTCAAATGCGTTTCAAACCCGTAACTGCCTCTCCGAGGGCTCAGATGTTGTCCATTGCACCAACCAAGGTCCTCGCTTTGCCTTTCTCTGTAAGTTTTTTACTCTAATGGAGCTCTAAGCAATTACCCATCAATGGTAACGAACTGGAGAGCATAAATCAGCACTGAACACAGTTACATCGAAGGTGCAATCAAAATCACAATGTTCTAACTTTTATTCACTGCCTATTCTTTCTTTAATCTTTATTTACAAAGCATTGACGCATTGACTCTGCAGAGCTTTTTGACAGCTTCCCTCTCAACTGAGTCCAAAGTTAAATCGATAAAAGCAAGGAAAAGCAGCATTCTGTTCCTTCCTGAATAACTGCATGTTTCCTTACCTGGAAGATATAGTTCATCGTGATGAATGCTTTTCGAAACCGTGCCTGCTAGCATGGGGTCCTCCTTTGCCCGGTGTTTCGCCAACTCTGTTAAAGACGCTTCGATAAATTGGGCAATAATTGCCAACACTGAACTCTTACTTTTAATAATAAATGCTGTTCTTTTGATTTTCCAAAGACTGGGAAACTTGAACTTTGACAAACAACGCGTAGAATGCCGAGTCAAAAAAAAAAATGATGAGGACTAGTGGCGCGATTTTTGGATGTTCATGTACAACTCTGCCAGAGTAGACGACGAGGTTATTTGTTTGAGGCGACTCCTACCTTCACGTATAGTTCGCATTTCTATAATTTGCCAGATACTATTCGAATACACAAAGGCGCACCCACGTACGAAAATATAATTACGTCAGACATTCATAAAGTTTACTTCAATATGCCACAGCAGGAACAAAAACTCATTCCCTGAATTCATTTCCACTTCATAACAAACAAAAGGTCGTGTCTGGTTTGTGATGATTAACAAGATATCTGTTATCTGGTTTAGGCACTGCAAATAGCTTCACGGCAGGGATTCCTTCGAATTCAATCCGTAGAAAAGAAGGGAAGGAATACAACACACAAATCTTAACGTTTTAAAGTATCAACTTTTCCAGTACATTATTTTGTTCTCTCCTACGAATCAGAACCAGAAATTATCAGCAATCACCCATCGACGGGAATCACACCTTTATGAAGTGCTTAATTAGCCTTTAATAGTTCGGCGCTCCTGTGTAGGTTATCAAGCTCAGCCTTGCTCAGTGGTAGTCTGCCAGATATTCCGGTATTAAATGTCAGGCTTGTTTGTACGACGTAACTACGAATCGCCTTCCGCTTACGTTTAAGTCTTCTGACTATAAGCACACCGAATCACGTGCACGATATAATTCGCATGTACTAAAGCGTACCTAGACACCTACTCACAGATCTATAAACGACCTAATGAATAATCTTTTCAGCCAATTACACTTTCATCCTCATTTAACCCCATATACCTGCTATCTGAGGATGCATTAGGTAATCTGGCCACTAGCCGGCATCGAATACGTCAAACAAAAGAAATCCGTAGAATTTACTTACTTACTTGATAGTTGAACGACCACCTCCAACCCACGATGAAGCGGTAAACCGTTGGGAGGATCCGTAGAATAGTGCTCACAGTGCCCATTAATAATTAATGGGAGGACGGTACCAGACTAAAACAGTGAGAGGTTTCCAGCCAAAACCTCTCAAGCAACAGACATGTTTTTTAAATGTGCTAAGTGTAAAAGAACTTAATGAAAACATCCAAAACCAAATAATTTATGGTTTTGCTGGCGGCAGCGGCTGATAAGGTACTAGAATTTTTCAGCAAGAAAAAGGGATTATCTAATGGCGCTGCTTACATATACTCCTTTCGAACTAGTGTTTATCAGTCTTTCTAGCATCAATTTCTATGGAAATGTATATTCCAACTAAAAAGGTACTTTGGTATATTCTTCAACTAATAAAATGATAGCGCCCAGCAATATTACTTCAATAAAGCAGTGCTCTACTCAAGAACGTTCGACTCGGAGTTACTGCGAAGACACACAACGTGAAGACGAACGACTGTGGACCATCGACTCGGACCACCGGCTCTGACGACGAAGACGGCGAAATGTTAGCTCTGTAGAGTTTATATAACCACCTGGTGTGAGCTGAACAATCTAGAGAAATACATTACACAGGCACTGTTTATGCATGGAATATGAGGACTATTTCAATATCTTTTGGTAAAAACGTTTAGATCGAGCCTTTGCTATCACATTACCACGGTCACAGACATTATGCCCTATGTTTTGAGAAGACCGTGTTCTAAATTCCCTTACAACAAGTTAAGCAATAAGTTAGTTGATCAAAGACAAGCACTTATGAACGACTTATATTAATTATTCACTCAATTACCAAAGACGTCAACATAGCAAATTCTC